CGTGAACGAAAACGACTCCAGAACATATTGGAGTTGGAGCCTAGCAGAGGGTCTTTTTTTTTTTTTTTAAAAAAGTACTTTTTGGTTTTAAGTTTTGAACTCGAACGTGTACTTTCTTAACAGACAATCGCTTATCAATGAAGTATTAATACATAAGTTTGTAAAATTTTCATTTTGAAAAGCTCGTTTTCATACTTTTGGGCTCGTGTTGCTTTTTGCGATACATCCTTGATTGCGATAGCCCTTGAACACAGAAAACTTTGACGTGTTCGCAGTTTATTTCGAACGACCAAAAAACCTTTGATCCGCCTGAGGGTTACTTGCAACGTTATTTTGTTTTGTTTTGTTTTGTTTTGCTTGTTAGTTTAATGACATTTTCAATTTCTGAGCTTTTGGCAATGCTAAAATGCGTTGCGCTAACAATATCCGTCGTTTTTGCAGTTAAGGAAACGATTTTTTTTGTTTGTTTGTTTTTGAGTTTGTTTCCCCCAATTACTTTTTTTATCTTTTCTTACCTGCCTAATTGATACCGTTATAAACATATGCCAAAATTTCATCGTACAGTATATCCGCTCAAGATTGTATACTGAGTCGAGAGCGTTTCTTTGACTCTTTTTTCAGATGATAAAAGCAATCAAGCAGATCACTAGCTGTCGAGTGGGTAATAATAATGGGAGAACAGAGTATATAGTCTCGGATCCGCTGCAGACTATCTTTTCAGTGCGTAGAGGAACCTATCGCCAGACAATCAGTTAGATCACTAGCTGTCAAGTAATAAAATGTCAAACGGTAAAATGTGTAAAATGTCAAACGGGTAAAATGTTTGAATAGACAAAAAGTTTCTAAATTCAATCCAGATTTTCTTTTTCAGACCAAAAAGTGTTCTTTTAACAGATGATTAAAGCAACCGATTAGACCACTAGCGGTCATATTGTGGAAACGTGTGAACAGACAAAAAGTTCTAAATTCAATGCAGAGTTTCATTTTCAGTGAAAAAAATTTGTCTTTTTTTTTTATCAGACTAACTGAAAGCAATCGATTTGATTGCCAAAAACGGATGAAATGCGTGAACAGAAAAAATGTCCTGCATCCGCTCCAGAGTTTCTTTTTAGTTTATAAAGTGTTCTTTTACCAGATGATAAAAGCAAGCGACTAGACACCCGTTTTGCCAGCTGTCAAACGGGTGGCCTATTTTACGAGATATTTTTCGATCACTAACATTCGAACAGGCGACAAAAGTAAACGAAAAAAAAATGTCCATGATCCGCTACAGAGTGACTTTTTAGTCCATAGACTGCACTTTTCACGAAATGATAGAAACAATCGACTAGATCACCAGTTGTCAAATGGATGGCCGAATTTACGTGATCGCAAA